GCCCATCGCCTCCACTCTGGGCTCCTCTGCAACACAGAGCTTGAAATTCAAGAGCCCCAGCTTTGGAAAAAGGAGTCGCCCCCCCTCCAGGACCCTCCTGTCTCTTGAGAGTGATGAGCATCGCCATTCAAGGACCCACCACATTAAAAGCAACCTGGTCTTCTGCTGGAACCTATTTTAAGGGCAACCACAACAAACCCGCTGCCCCATTTCCCAATCGGATGCAGCTGTGCTTATGCAACTGCCATCCCTCCATTTCCCAATCGGATACCATTACCACACAAGCAGCCAGTTCCTCTCCCTCTGTCGCCTGTCCCCAACCATAACCCCAGAAGCACCCTCCGAGGTGCTCAGGACCACCACGCCCCACCAGAGGCTTCACCGGGTGGGGCTGGAGGAGCATCACTCACCAACATTCATGCCCAGGTTCACGCGGAGGTCCACATCCTCCGCCCACGCGTCGTGGGCTGGTTCTTTGCACAGGACAGGGAAGATGCCCCGGTAGAGGTGGGCCTGGCGTGCTGTCTGGTCATTACGGGTCACGGCAATGATGGGAGCCCGCGGGCGGTACCGCGACACCAGGTGTGCTGACCTAGAAGGAAATGGGACCCGTGCTGAAGCACCACGTTACAGGCAGTGCCGCCCGAGCTCGAGGAAGCTCGTGTACGCCACCGCTCGCAGCACAAGCAGCGGCAAGGTCTGCCCGTCAACCTGGAAGGCTCCACCAAAACCCCTTGAGGCACATCGAGGGTGACCGCAGGAGATGCCAGCAAGAGCCGAGGTCACCAGCGAGCTTGATGTTCTGCCGAATTCCCAGTCAGGCAACTGGGCAGACCACCACCAAAGGCCATCCCTTGGCGACAGTCCCTACTCCAGTCCTGTGGTGAAAATGACCTCGCTGCCGAGTTCAGGACATGCCATCTGCGTGTTTCGGTCCTGAAAACAAGCCTTTCTTTGTCTCTGTTGCTATGTTAAGGTGGCGAGATGCCATTTATTCTGGCCTCTGCAGATGGCAGGCTGTCCTTGGCATCTCAACGGGGGTCCCTGCAAGTTCCCTCTGTTCTGAGGAGCTCCCGGTTTCTGGGATGGAAAGCGCTACCCAAAGCTTGCCAAGGAGGAAGCCATTCGCCTCCCAGCCACATTCACCTGCCGAAGCCAACGAACAGGCCAGCTCTTCCGCACAGAGCTCTGCTCTTGCGCCCAATGGGAAGCAAATGCAAGAGAGGCCAAAATTTACATTGGGAAGTTGGGGCACAGAGTCCTTAAAATGCCTGGGTGGGGACTACAGCCTCTCTTTCCCCAGGCACTGCTTACAGAGAGCGTCTGCAAATAAACTGAGATTAAAACTGCAAGGCCACAGCATTAACAGCTCCATCTTTCCGACGAGCTTGCAAGTATCTCCACCGGCTTTTGCAGCCTCGTTTAGTGGAGCCAAGCTCAGCAATATTCAGAGATTGCTGCTTAAAGGTAGGCAGTAGCAGTCCGCTCAAAGCGCCCAAGCACACGTGCCAGCTCTCAGACAATCCTTCCCACGCTGTCCAAGAATCCTCCCGGAAGCTCTAGGAGATCCAGGTACTCAAAGGCTGTAACAGAATCCACAGCTAAAAATATCAAAATATCAGAGTTCAAATCTCTTTAAAAAGGTCAAGCTAAGACTGGAACCCTTTACAAAGAAACATTAGAAGCATGAGGGTATCCAGAAAACTCAGTGCTTATAGTCACTCCTCATCTCTGCAGAAAGTGGCTGCTTCAAGTCATTTTAAGCTGTGAATTTAGGTGAAGGATTCACCGATGGTCCAGATCTTCAGGTAGACCATGCCCAGCGCATATAATCACATCTCTGCTGCCGCACTATTTCTTTGGTGCGAATCCAGCGCAAGAAATTCAGATTTTCCTTCCAGAAAGCAGCCTGAGACTTATGGTTGGACGTGCTTTGAGGGTGGGCAGCCTAGCTCCTCTATAGATGGAAAAAGCTGATCAGCAAGGCTTCAGCTCCCTTTCCACAACTGGAAGAGCGAGTCTCTACTCGGCAGTTGTCACCATCGCTGGACAGAAATCCCAAACTAAATAGTTCCAGCGTGTCTGCGTTGCTGTCTCCCACCTGCAGCCAAGGCACTGAGCTCACCTGAGGGTGCAGGCAGCACTTGCCTGCTGGGTGCCTGCCAGATGCCTGCCAGTTCAGCGAGATGACTCGCAGGCAGGCATAAGGAAACCTGTAAGAGGCAGTTTCCAACGCTTTCAGCTTCTCTGCCTAACAATCCTCGGCTAAGCAGTTCCTCTTTGCCACTCAGGCTTAGGCAAGCAGGGCTGATGCCCGAAAGGTTCACCAAGGGACCTATAGTTTTGGATGCTACTATGAAAGGCCAAGGCCTCAATTTACAAAAAAAGAAAAAAAATATACACACAGATTCTGCATCCATCTGCCTTACTGTTAAATGGAGGATTTCTTGCCAAGAAGTTGGAATCGAAGCTGCAACACTTATTTTCCCTTGACTCTTCCAGCCAGCGCTGCTGGCAGAGATGCCATTCGCAACAGCGAGGGGAGGCAGGCCCGGTGCTGGTGCCACGCTGGCAGAGGCAGGCTGAGGAACTCGGAGGTTACGTTTGTGCAGATGTTTGAGATGTCTGCCCATCTCCCGAGGAACCGACAATGCAGGCAGGCAGCCTGGGCTCTCAGTCGCTGCCAAAACCCGGGCTTCACTGTTAGAGTTCTAGTCTCTCAAAGCCATCTTTTTCACGAGTCTCCTTCCCCCACCCTGTCACGAAGTCAGCTTGACCTGAGGGAACCTGTCACCTCCTACCTTCCAGACTTGGTGAGAACAATAATGGCCCCACTGCAGCACTTGAAGGACGCTTCCACAGCGCCAACAGCAGCGGCCTCCGTGGGATCACAGTTCAGGGAAGTCAGACGACGCAGTTCCTCAAACAATTGCCTGTGAAAGATGGCGGCTTCGGCCTCCCGGGCAATCTATAAGAGCAACATGCGTTCGGCAAGACAACACTCACATCAGTCACTCGGGGCACCACAGGGCAAGGCGAGGTGCTCTGTCATCAAGGTGTCACACAAATACCACCAGCTTTTGACACGGTTACCAATTAGCAAGCCCAGATTTAGTTGCAAGATGCTGGGGCGCTGGCCGCAAAGCTCGGCCACCCAAACAGCAACAGCCTTACAGAGGAACCGTTCCATTCTCAAGGTTTCTTTTTGGAATTGATGGCACCTCACCCTGCCGAGTCCACACTCAGGTGACATTCTTGCCAACTGCCAGGCACTCTCACTCTGCTTCTGCCTACCTGGAGTCCCTCCCTACCACGCCGATGAATTCAACTCAGACCACAGCGGTTATGTGAGGCTGATGCCGTAGCAGCAAGCTGCTTGCTAAATATTTGCAGTGTTAGAACGGAGCGTGTTTTTAACTCATGGAAACAACTGGCACCAAGCCCCCTCTCTGAGCCCTACCTGCCAGATTCGGTCAGAACTATCAGGGCTGGAGCTAAGCACTTAAAAGAGGCCTCCACTGCGCCTACTGCCATGGCATCGGCAGGGTCCCTGTTGTTAACATTGAGGCGGAAAATTTCTTCAAACAGCTGACGATGAAACATTGCGGCCTCAGCCTCACGAGCAATCTGCAGGCCCAAGTAAGAGGGAAAGGGGAGAAAAGAGGAAAGAAACGAAGGAAAAAATACACCAGAGTAACATGAGATCACGTTAATTTGCTTAATTGGTCACAGTAATGCATGCGAGAGGATATTAACGGTCAGGCTGTGAAACTCTTTGGCTCTCAGGTTGGGAGTTTGCTGAATGCAACCCAGTCCAACACGCCACAGCCACACCAGCTGGTTCACCACGCCGTTTAACCGGCAGGCCCCGGTCACTGGGCAGGCATTTCGCAGGTGGCATTCTTGCTGTATTTTGGAGTCCTTTCAGAGCAGGCAAACGCAGATCCCTTTTCAAGAAGCGGAGCAAGCCAGCTCAGGGTCAGACCATGCTTTGGTGCGGCTGCTTATTACTTCCTTGAGAGACAGCACTGCTGGAACAGGCTTCCCAGAGCCAACATGGAAGCAATGCACTTTCAACATCACCCCTGAAGTTGGGAGGCAGTCTCTCTCATTAGATTTAGTTTAACTTGAGCGAGCCAATAAAGATTTAGTTTAACTTGAGAGCCAGTAAAGTTTCACATCCAAATGCTATACCAACTTCCCTTTCGGTAACAGAGAAATAAATAGGAACAAGCCTTCGTTACAGGGTTGTCAGAAAATGTAGGTTGAGGTGTTTGTACAGTGCCAGACTTGGACAGCGGCACAGCTAAGGGCTTTCTGTTCAGGCTAAGCATTTGCAGCAAGTTCAGTAATCTATTCATCCCAGCACGCTGGGAATCACTCACATTTAAAGACAACTGTCATCTCAGAAGGCTGCATTATCCCCTGACAACCTGATAAAGAAGGCTTGCAGAGACTGGAAAAGCATGCAAAGGTTGATCATCTTTTCAAGGACAACTTCATCCAGTTACTTCAGAAAGTGAGCAGCCACTACAGAGAGCGTGACGAGTTCATGTTTAAGCAGAGACTGAAGTGCCATGGTTATAGTGAAAGCTTTGTAGTTAGACCCCACCCAAATTTTGGTACTCTAGTGTTAATGAATTATTTTATGTGATGCTAGGAATTATCCCTCTTCCAGAGATATCAGTTTAAGCCAAAGTAGTTAAGTATCTTATGTCTAAAAATAACAGGACACATGTGACAGGCAGGAACAGCAGCCCAGTGCCAAGTCTGGTCCTAAAGCAGCCTGTTACTTGTTACTGCTGGCTTTACACTGGCCATTAGATAAAATGGAAGTACTCGCCTCCAAACCACTTACTCTAAACGCAAGAGCTGGTAGCCAGGCAGTTTATCTTCAGCTCCTGGTCCAAAGGCAGGGTGACCCCGAGTTTAGAGGGAAGCCTGCATTCCCCAGTTGTAAGAGAATACGTGTATGCACGTGTCTGCTTTGACAGTGGCTGCAGAAGGGCACAGCAGTTCTCAAACCCACGTCACAGCTGGCTTTAGTCATACAGGAACGGCCAGAGGGTTTCCAGTTGGTAGGCAGGTGGAGGTACCAGGGTGGAGGTGGGAGAAAGGAAAACGGAGCGGCTATTTAAACCTTGGTCCCATTAGACAGCATGGCCAGGGCAGCATGTGAAGACAACTGTGGATCGTGGACTGGAATTGGAAGGAAGCCCACTCCCACAAGCAGGAAACGGCCTGCCCAATGTTTGGAAGCTTGCTACAAGACTCCAGGTGCATGGCATTTTTGTCACAGAGATGCCAGCTACTGAAGAGCAAGCTCGTTTCTACGAGGCTAGCTGGAAAGGGATCGCTAAGCGCAACTACTGCGGAGTCCCAGCAGAGCTGCTGGGACAGGCCAGGGATAGACAGGCCAAGTCTTTTAGAGAGGTGCAAGGATACTACATAGCGCAGACCCTGATCGTTCTCAGCATCACAGCCCGGGTTTGCTGCCCGCACCTCACTACAGAGGGAGCTTTACTTGCAATACTCCTGTAGCAGCACTGGATAATTAAGTATATAACCCCAAACTGACAGCAATTTCAGGCCAGGGAACACAGACAGGAGCTGCTTTTTACCAGAGGCAAGGTGCTCTCTCCCTGCTATGACCACTTGGCCACTTCAGATGGAAATATTCATCTGCTCTGGCCATGCTGCAGATTTTTCAGACGACTTCGGGCACTATTGCTGGGCAGGGCTTCTCTCAACTAACACCAAGTGAATTAGCTCAGATGAAAGATCCTGACTGTAGAGGGACGTGCTCCTACCATCACAGAGTTGGCACCTTGCTGCCTGTGCCATGTCACATTAAATGAAGTGAATTTGTATTTGCTCCTCTGCACAGAGGGTTAAAACTTCCGTATTTCTGCGGAGGCCTGGCAGAGTGCACACCACTATTCCCAGGTCTGCAGGAAGAGGGAGGCACGTGCAACGGATCCTGAGCTCAGGCTGCAGGTACAATACAACCTGCCCAATTCTAAGAATTAATGTCGGAATGGAAACCCGGGTGTAAGGTTTGTTGCAGCAAGTTTCCAGCTCTTGGTAGAAAGTCAGCCCTCGTTATTTAGGGGGTGAAAACTGAGGGAGAACCTTTTAGGTGCACCATTAGCATTCAGCCTGCAAACCAGGAGTAATCAAGTCATATTTGGCATTTGCCACGTCCAAAAAACACCACTCCATATTGACCAGTTAAAGGTTAAAAGTTATTTACATAATACACTGCAAACGAACACTAGCTGAGTTGATTAATCTATATAACCTGAGTTGCAAATAAAACTGGTGAGAGTTATAACTTGTGAGAGTTATCACAGCTGTGATTCACAGCACTGGTAACTGGGGAGAAGCAACATTTGTAGATACTTGACATCAGGCTTTTTATCAGCTGAAATGCGAGCTGGGTGAACTCGAAGCAGAGCAGAGGTTTCTGGCAGTTCAGGCATGTAAAAATATGGTGCTGTCAGTACTCGTGCAACAAACACCCCCAACACCAAGCACATCAGGTGCTCAATGCATCAGCACTGTAAATCAGACTCACAAGCTTCCCCCATACCCCCCCCCAGAGGAGTCAGCCAGTACCTTTCATTATCTAAACTGCTTAAGCAGCTCCTTGACCTTGGAGAGGTTTAAGGCATTTAGTTTAAACTATCCAAAAGGAATAGGGCATTATGGAGAAACTCATACCAAGGTAACAGCAAAAACCCCTTGACCCCGGCTGAAACACAAAATTAATAGGAGTCATCTGAAGTTTTAGATTTCACAGCACTGCAGAGCAGCTCTCAGCTCTGCCCAACAACAGTTTGGAGCACATCAAGTGAGCTTTCAGGCCCTCAGGACCACACTAAGGTAAAGAAACACCCGCAGTGGGAGCGTGAACAAAGAAAGGACTCCTTTGGACTGCTGGGGGCTGCGACCTCGCACCAGATTTAGATCTTCAGGTGCCTGGCTCAGACAAAAGATGCAGGGCAAGAGAGCACTGCTACTTTCACCTGCGGGACAAGCCCCCCACCAGAGCGAAGGCAGTACTCACAGCGTGCTGCATGCGCACAGCCTCGAGCGGGTAGTCTCCCTTGGCAGTCTCTCCAGAGAGCATGATGCAGTCAGCTCCATCCAGGACGGCATTAGCAACGTCACTGCCCTCAGCACGGGTCGGGCGAGGTTTCTTGATCATGCTTTCCAGCATCTGGAAGAGAACAAATCCAAAGAAATCAAGATACTGCAGAAGAAATCAGCTGCTTTTTCCACTAGTGCGCTTCAATATATTTTATAGGTAGGACAGAAGACAGAATGCAGCCAAAGGACTCTGGGAGAAGAGTTCTTCCAGCTGCTCTGTCCTGTACACACGGGTCCCTAACCAGCTTTGAATTAAAGCATCTGTCAGCAAGAAAAACAACCCATTTCACTTTGTACCTGTTCTACATTCACTCCTTTTCCAAGGAGGTTTAACCCATACAACATCAAGACACAGTATTCTGACTTTCCAATTTAACTTTCTGGCACAGAGGCTTGGTCCAAGGAACTCTGAGCTCTTTAGAGCAGGGTATTGCGTTAGGACACCGTTACGGAAAGCTCAAATCCAGCCACATGTTCCCAAATTAGCATCTAGGGGGTTGGTTTTTTTTCATCTAGAAACAGCAAAGTCTGCACCAAATAAAGTCATCTTCATCCAAGACAAGATTTCAAATTATGTAATAAGTACAGGCCAGTAAACTCAGAACAGCTAACACCAGCAGCCTCCTCGGCACCCCTTCTGAAGAGAGCGGAAAACCAAACAGCATTCCAGGAGGTTAGCTTTTCCTACCTCCTTCTCCCAGAAGCTAGTGTAACCTAAGCCTGGCCAGCTCTCCTATCGTCCTCAGGTGCTCAGCTTTCTCCCCACTGCAGCTCACCACTGGGCAAGCATCACTCATTTCCTCATGAAACACCTCCTGAGGCAGTGTTTCAGTTGCATTTCAGTAGCAACACAGGAAGAGGAAGGGCACATGGCACTGTAAATCCAGAACCTTGTCTGATGACTACTGTTTAGAGACAGCTTTTGCTTCTGCAGCCTGTGTGCGGAGCGAGCACAGGCAGGAAACCAGTCCTCCCAGTGCCCAAGGACTGCCTGCACATGATCCCTAACTGGAACCAGTGAAGCTAAGCATCAGCTCTCTCTCCCTCACCAGAATAATACGGAGATGGTCTTTTCCTCAGTTCCTTCCAATGCTGCAGTGTGGGTGCATCTTGTAAGATACCTGGGAACCTTAGCAAGTCTTCTCTGTTAGACACAGATGTGCTGCTACAAGATGCAAAGGCAAAGTGTACGCAATTTTTTTTTCCCAGAATGAGTTTAGTCAGCCCAAAAGGCTCATACTGCATGAACTTGAGGGGTAAAACCTTCAGCAGCCACACAAGAGGTCCTGTAACCTTACTGGGGAGGATCCCAAACACATCTTTAAAGAAATGCCTCAAAATGTGCTATTCAGCTATGAGCAAAACCCTTTTGCTCTTGGCTGCTTGCTCTCTAGCCAACACCATCAACCATGACAGCTACCAACATTCATATCCTGCCAGACTCTGGCAGTTAGGAGCCAGCGTTGCATTTTGAGTACCTGAGTGGCACAGATGATGGGTTTGCCAGCCCTGTTGCAGCGCCCAATCATCATCTTCTGGGCAAGGAAGACTTTTTCAGCAGAAACCAGGTCCCCACGGGCCACCATAATGCCATCGCTAGCCTCCATGATCTCATCAAACCTGACAGCAGCAAGAGAAGAGGTTTATTAGCCCATTTGTTCGGCAAAGCACCTTCTCGTCTGTTCCATCCCCTCCCAAAAGAAAGCATCGCTCCGGAGCGTGATACGCAGCTAGCTACGCTGTCAGCACACGGGCTTTCCACATGCCATCTCGGTATCCTCTAACACCAAGGTAGGAGGAAGAAAAACAAGACCAAATCATAGCACATACAAAGTGCTATATGAACCTTTCTAGAGCTATACAAAGACAGATCGAGGGAAGCGGGAGTTGATCTGAGATACTGTAGTCCGATAGTTTGTCACAGACTTGGCGATTCCTGTGCATTAGCTCACCGATTTGCATCCGTAATGGCAAGTTTGGTAAGTTTGAACTCACATTTGCTGCAAAAAATATCAGAGATTTTTCAGGGAGACCGTGACACTGTCCCCACGAGCTCAGCACATGTGACAGTTACACAACCCACTGTCATACCGCAGCTATGTCAAGTCCCACGCACGTGGCATTAACTGACAGCCTGCAACTCGGACTAGCAAGTTAGCTGCTGCTGGCAAGCTAGAGATCATGAGTCCTGACTACAGCGTGAAGGGGCTGTGTTCTTCCGTTGATACAGGATGACAAACCTGAAGTGTCACCTGCACAAAGCTCACCTGCGCACACCCTCATGGTTCTCGATCTTGCTGATGATCTTTATGTTCTTTCCCTTTTCCCCGAGCACCTTCCTGACAGCATGGACATCAGCAGCTTTGCGGATGAAGGAAGCAAACACCATATCCACGTTCTGCTCCACACCAAATTTTAGGTCCTGAATGTCCTTTTCAGAGACCGCAGGCAGGTCGACTGCAGCACCCGGCAGGTTCACTCCCTTCTTGCTGCCAAGCATGCCACCGTTCTCGATCTCCGTCATGACATAGTCCTTGCCTGAAACAGATGCATTCCCATGATCAATGTTTACCAGAAAGCTCCCTGCTGCCAGCTCCCACACACCTCCCTGCCTGAGAACGGCAGTGCCAGCAGCAACCGCCTGTGATGAAAAGCGCATCACTGCTCTCTTCAAACGATTTATGTAACGCCAAAGCTTGCAATTTACCCATGGGAGGAGGACAGACCGGCTTAAAACCGCTTCTACGCTATTCTTGGAGAAGATGCCATTTGTTCTGTGCAGGAGGCTGGGGCTGCTTCTCCTCAAAAAAGCCACCAGGTTGCATTTCTGCACACAGGAGCCCTGGAATACCAAACTGAGCCCCCCAAAAGCCTCACCTCCATCTCCCTAGGCACTCTGGGATTAGAGGCGATGCCTTGAGGCTAGAGCAGTTCAGGCAGCACTATAAAGGGACTATTATGGAACTAACCTTGCCCCTACATTACCAGTTGAAGCTAGTTCTGTCTTTAACCACAAAACTCAGGGTTTATGCTGTAAAACCAGTCAAATCCTGCATTAAGAGTATGAGTTAGTTAAACAGGCTTTAATCATGAGCACTGGTATGTCCCTACCACACATTCACCTTTGAAGAGGTGTTTTAGATGAGAGTCTAGTGAAACCCAGCTGAAGTTTTTTGGAAACTTGCTACAGTTGATATAGAGAAAGTTTTGCTCAAAGTCTCCTTACAGCATTAAGAACCATGTACTCCTTTCTTTAATACACAACTGCAAGCTAAAGAAACAGTTGCTGCGGGGCAAGCACAAACACATCCCAAGGAAAAAAACAAACAGGCATAACTGGAACGGTTGTTACACACCTTTCTCCTTAACCAGCAAGGAAATCAGACCATCATCCACATAGATCTTGCTGCCAACTTCTACAACCTTGGTGAGATTCTTGTAGTCCACCCACAGCACGTTCTCATCACAGTTCTCCATGTAGGCATCGTCCAGGGTCACTTTGAGTGGTGCGCCCTTCTTCAGCTCCACTTCTGCTGTGCCACTCTGCGTGTCAAAAACGTGCATTTCAGCAAAACCAGTAAAAACCAGCACACAACCACCTCCCAGACTGAAGCAGTCCATCAAAACTTTTGGTATTTGGTTCATTACCGTGTTTCCTACGGACGTTTTTTGTTTGGCAAAGGCCACAGGCATAACATGGTATCCAGTCTCACACACTGAAAAATGTGGGTAAAAAAAAGAGCAACTTACTCCCTTAATGAGTCCAGTTCGGATTTCAGGTCCCTTGGTATCCAGTGCAATAGCCACAGGTCTGTAGGTGATGGGATCAGAGGCAAAGCTCTCTGTAGCTTCTCGCACGTTCTTGATTGTGCCCTCATGATACTGGCAAGGAAAAAAAAAAAAAAGAGATGGAGATATTCAGCATATTTCTATTCCACCGCTTCTGAAAAAGTGGTCTGAAAAAGACCACCACACACCCCAAATGCTGCCCGAGCTGACAGCTCTGCTCTCACTTTATGCTTGATTTCACTTCTAGCTTGAGAGTTTAATTCAGACTGAGCTTCCAGAAAAGCAGAGTGTTGAGGATACAAAGGCCCTCCCCACATGGAAGTGGAGCTCAGCCGTTATCTGGCTATGCTGTCGGTGCCCCCAGTTCTATGCCCAGAAGGACAACTCGAGGAGACTGCCCAGGCCACTCGGTTGAATTGATTTTCCATCAGGACATACACTTGCCGTCTAGAGACAGCCCACCAACCAGCAGACCTTTAGGAAGAATGTTTCCAAAAGTTTTGCTTAGCATCTGCCTGTTCAACATGGCAGAACATGGGCAGCGGTGGCAGCTGGACGATTATGTGCGTGGAAAGACTCCCAAATGCCAGGAAAATGTCACAGCCAAGCGACTGCCACACACAGCTGTTCTCCTCCCTCCAAAGTGTGGAAGAGAGAGTGCCACTCTCTGCACTGACGACTCCCCCCAGACTTCCAGCCTGACCCCTCTTATCAGTCCCACAGGCAAGCAGACAGACAAGCTTTTTTACAACTCATCTTAAATTTCCCCTAAAGACAAAGGGCTTGCTAAGAGGACGTTATCCATTTAAGTATTTACATTTTATTTCAAGAGCCAAAGCGATCGCAGATGGAAGTTCAAGACTGCAGCACCATGCACCCGGCTTCCAAACTTCCACATTTTATTAACACTGCCAGTTTCAGGACAGACAGTTCTGCGGGGAAACTCCCATCCCAACTACCTCAAACGAGCTTCAGATGACCAGATGATCAGTTTACTTTACTTGCTTAAACAACATTAAGCGATAACCTCGACTGCACGTTACGTAACACTTGACAGACTTTTGTAGATAAGAAATACCCTTTCCGCTCTGTGCCACAGACTGACAGCATTTGACCCGATTCACCTAGAAACACCCGACTCCCCCCACACCACCCATCCGCCTCGACACGAGCCCCACGCAGACACTTCAGTATGGTGGGGATGACAATCCCGGCCCCACCTCCCTGATGCAGAAAAAGCTGTGCTCAAGTTCACGTGCATGCCCTGGGCCAGAGATACAATGCAACTGCCTACTCTTCAGAGCATGAAAAATTATTTAGTTCATTCATTGAGTGTGCAAGTTGAGACTGAGAAGGCCCTGACCCTTCCATGCACCACAGCCTAAATGGTGCAGCACAGAAATTACGCCTGAATGGTGCTATTGCATTTCGCTGCTCCCAATCACCCAGGATTTTTCCTTTTTAGTTTGATAGCAGTGACTAAGCGGCTCCTCGGGAGTCTGACTTCCTGAAGAGTTATGTACGTTCTACAGAGTTATGTATGTTCTACAGGAATGCAGGCAGAGCTGCAAGTAAAAGCAATTTTTTTTTCCCCTATATAAAAGGGTTGCAGCCAGGTGTTAAAGCACCTCTGTTAAAGTTGAAGTCCTGC